ATCTCCTGACCTCATGACCCGCCCGCCTCAGCCTCCCAAAGTGTTGGGATTACAGGCGTACCACCGCGCCTGGCCAAAATTCTTAAAAGAACTTCTTTTTTTTTGTCTTGTTCCTGATTTTAGTAGAAAATATTTCAGTATTTCATTATTATACATGATATTAACTGTGGATTTTTATATATGTCTTCTCTAAGGTTGAAAATGTTCCTTTCTATTCATAATTTGTTGATTGCTTTTTATCAGCAAAGGATGTTGGGATTTGTCAAATGATTTATCTTGTGAGTTAACCATGTGGCATTTATTCTTTATTTTATTAGTATGATCAATTTTCATATGTATTCACTTTTCGTTTCTTGTGATGTCTTTGCCTGGCTTTGGGATCAGAGTAATACTAGCCTCATACAATGAGTAAAGAATTATTCCCTTCTCTTCTGTTTTTTGAAGAGTTTATAAAGAAAATGTATTCATTATTCTTTAAACATTTGGTAAAATTTACCATTGAAATCATTTGGTCTTTGTGGGAAATTATTTGATTATCAATTAAATCTCACTATAGGTCTATTCAGATTTTTAATTTTTTCTTGAGACAGTTTCGGTAGCTTGTTTCTTTCTAGGCATTTGCACATTTTATCTAAGTTATCTAATTCATTGGCATGTAACTGTTCATAGCATTCATTTGTAATCCTTTTTATTTCTGTTAGGAGTATTATTCCATTTTTTATTCCTGATTTTAGTGATTTGAGTCTTCTCTCTTTTTCTTCACAGTCTAAAGTGTATCAATATTATTGATCTTTGAAAAGGGAAAGGCTTTTGCTTTTGTTGATTTTCTCTACTGGTTTTAATTCCTGATTTTACTTGTTTCTACTCTCATCTTTACTATTTTCTTCCTTTTGCTTGCTTTAGATTTATTTTGCTCTTCGTTTTTCCAATGTCTTAAGAGCGTTAGCTTACTAATTTGAAGTTTTTCTTTTTTAAAAAAAGTACATATTTACAGCTATAAATACTCTGAAAAGCACTGGTTTAGTTGCAACCCATAAGTTTTGTTATGCTGTGTCCTTGTTTCCAATCATGTCAACGTACTTCCTAATTTCCTTTGTGATTTCTTCTTTGACTCATGGGTTATTCAGGAGGGTGTAAATTGATTTCCACCTTTTAATTTTCCCAAATTGCCTTCCATTATTGATTTCTAGTTTCATTCTATTGTGATCAGAAATCATACTCTTTATTATCTTAATCATTTTAAATTTATTGAATTTTAAATTTAAATTTAAATCCTTTTAAAAATTAAATCATTAAATTTAGAATTACTGAATACACTATGGCCTAACATTTAGTCTATTCTGGAGAATGTTCCATGTTTACTTGAGAACAGTGTGTATTCTACTGTTAGATAAAATGTTCTGTACGTATTGGTTAGGTTTAGTTGATTTATAGTGTTTTTTAGACTTTATCAATTGGTCTTATATCTAATTGTCCTATTCATTATTAAAAGTCAGATATTGAAGTATTTGAGTATTTTTTTAACTATTTCTACCTTCAATTCTGTCAGTTGTTGCTTCATGTATTTTAGCCTCTGTTTTTAAATGCATATTGCTTATAGTTGTTATATCTTCTTGATAAATTGATCTTTTATCATTAAAATTGTCCTACTTTGTCTTTAGTAGCAGCTTTGCCTTAAAGTTTATTTTTAGTATAGCTATGCCAGCTCTTTTTTGGTTATTGTTTGCACAGTATATCTTTATCCATCCCTTCACTGTCAACCTACTTATGTCTTTGGAAATAAAGTATATCACTGCAGACAAAATATAGTTGAATCATGCCATTTTTATTCATCCTGCCAATATCTATCTTTTGACTAGAGCATTTAATTCATTCATATTTTATGAGTTATTTATAAGGTCTGGTTTACATCTGCCATTTTGTTAATTGTTTTCTATATGCCTTATGTCTTTTTGGTTCCCTTAGCTTACCATTACTGTTTCCCTTTGTCCTAAATATATATTTTCTAGTGTACAATTTTAAGTCCCTTGTTTCTTTTAGTATATTATGAGTTATTGAGTTATTTTCTTAGTAGTTGACTGAGGATTACCATTAGTATCTTAAAATCATCTAGTTTGGATTAATACCAATTTAATTCTAATTGTACACAAAATTTTACTCCTATGCTGTTATTGTCCTATAACTGGCATCTTTACAGAGTACATGGCTGTCATCACAGATCTATAATTGTTGCTTTGTGCTATTTCCTTTTAAATCAGATAGGAGAAAAACAGGTACAAACAAAAAACACTTTTATGCTGTGTTTTATATTTAGCTGTTACCTTTACTGATGGTACTTTAGAAAAAAATTCTTTATTTGGATGTGAGTTACAGTCTAATATTATTTCGTTTCAGCCCGAAAGATTCTAGTATTTCTTGTAGGGAAGGTCTCATAGTGATCAACTCTCTCAGGATTTTGTTTATTTGGGAATGTCTTAATTTTTCCTTCATTTTTGAAGAACAGTTTTAGATACAGAATTCTTACTTGACTTTCTTTTCTTTCAGCATTTTGTAAATGTTATTCCACTGCCTTCTTGCCTTTATAATTTCTAATGTAAAACCAGCTGTTGATCTTGTTGAGAATCTCTCATATGTCATGAATCACTTCCCTGTTGCTGCTTTCAAGAGTTTCTTTGAAATTTTGTCTTTGTTGAAAGATATCCTACTTGGAATTCAGAGAGCTCCTTGGTTATACAGATTAATGTTTTTTATTCAATTTGGGAAGTTTTTTGCCATTATTTCTTCAAATAGTCTTTCTTCCCCATTTTGTCTTTCCTTTCATGCCGAGACTCCCATTACACATATGTTTATTTGATCATTTTCCATAGGTCTCTGAGGCTCTGTTTATTTCTCTTCATTTTCTTTCTTCTATTTCTCAGAATGAATCATCTCAGCTAATGTATCTCTAAGTGTGCCAATTCTTTAACCTACTAAAATCCGCTATTGGTTCCTTCTGGTGAATTTTTAATTTCAGTTACTGTCGTTTTTAGCTCCAGACTTTCTATTTGGTTATTTTCTTATAATTTCTGCCTTTCTATTGATATTTTTGATTTGGTGAGACATTGTTCTCATACTTTCCATTGGTTCTTTGAGCATATTAACAATAGAAGATTAAAAGGCTTTGTCTAAAAAGTTCAATGTCTGGGCTTCCCCGGGGATAATTTGTATAAAATACCTTTTTCTTTGTGGGTGGATCACAGTTTCTTGTCTCTTTCCTTGTCCCATAGCTTTTTGTTGAGAGCTGGACATTTTATGTAATATAATGTGCCAATTCTGGAAATCAGATTCTTCCCCTTCTTCCAGGCTTTTGGTTATTCTTTGTTTAGTAAATTTCCTAAACGAATTTTATAAAGTCTATAATTTTTAAAATCTTATGTAGCCAATGAAATCTCTGCTCAGTTATCTTAGCGGTCAACTAATGATAAGACAAAAATGTCCTAAATGTCTGGAACCAAGAAGTCGCCCATCTTTGCTGAGGGTCCAGGTTGTGTGTTCTCACTGTTCTTATAGATCCTGCCTTTAACCTACATTTGGTTGATTGCAATTCTGAACTGTTTCTGATTTTAGGGTTAATTTTTCCAACCCTAGGTTTTCTATTTGTTCCTTCAGTAAAGAAGCATTTTAGAATACCTGACTTTTTTATTTGGCTAGAGGATTGTATTTAGCTTAGATATAACAGAAAATAGACACAATGGGATCATCTTAAGAATTATTATTTTTTAATAAGGACATTTTTTTAAAAAGTCAGGTAGAGCAAGATAGACATGGAAGATCTTCCTGGGTCTAGAACAAGACCCCTTCCCCTGTCACCCTGTGAGCCCTGGGCTATACATTGGTTACCTACCGCAGTTAGCACAGGCATCCTGACATTCAACATACAGGTATGTGCACTTGTGTTTCACTGGCTAGGGAACCATGGACCACAGAGGCCTTTGACATCTCTTATCACCCAGAGTATGTGGCACAGCACTGTGCTTATAGGACACACTCAAAAATTTTTTTGACAGTGATGGCAAGAGATTGGATTTCCGTACCCAGGTCTTTCCCTGGTTTGTTCAAAGCCTGGAGTATTTATTTACCCTAACTCCACAAAATGGACGAATTCATTCTTGTAAATGTAAGGTTTGCGGGACTTACTCTGGCAATTCGTTAAGGCTACCGTTCATTCTGCAGAAATCGCTTTGTAAATCAGCTTGATTATTTGGCTCCGTTTATATTTGAAAATTTTAATACGGAAGAATTCATTGCCCAACCGAAGACATACGCCCTATTCAAATGCACAGACAAATGCAGACCTCAGGAAACAAAACAAGCGCACTCCCCGTACTGTTCCTTTGGATCACGGGTCTCCAATTCCAAGCTTTAGTGGAAATAATGAAATGTCAGCCCTCGCATGCCACAAAATTCAAATCCCAATGAAAAAGAGGGAAAGGCTCTTTGCCATTTGCTTCAATATATACAGAACACAAAACAGTGATTTGGACACCAGCAATTCATGACGAGGCAAGGAAACAAACAAACACACACACACAAATCCACAGGTGGGTTTGTTTTTAAGGTCCCTTCACAACAGCAGCCAACAGCCTTGAGCAGCAGGAAACCTCCAGACCCACTTCTCATCCTGCGTGAGTCCTGGAGGCGGGAACGTGGCTGGTTGAGGTTCAAAGACCTGCGCTCTAATTACCAGCGTAATTAGAATAAGAACATGTTGCTCCCTCCAGAGGGGCCAGCCCCGCGCCTCTGCTGCTCTGGGAGAGCGCGTGGTGAAGAATTCCCATGGAGCTGCATGGGAGGAAAAGCGACCCCACGCTGAGCTGCCAACGTGGTTGTTAGCGCGCCCCGTGTAATTTCGTGCCACCGTTTTGAATGTGCTAACGAGGCACGTTATTCTTAGCCCCGTCGGGGAGGGGATCAGATTCCTGCACAGTTGTGCTGCTGGCGGAAGTGACTCGTTCTCTAACGACCCCCGTGACAGCCAGAGAATGTCCGTTTCTGGGAGCGCAGCACAGGCTGTGCCAGGGAGGAGCCTCGGGCCAGGGGCCTGGTGGGCGCCTGGAGGCCGCTGGGCGGTTGTGGGAGGGACGGTGACTCCCCACTCCGGGTGACGAAGGGCACGCAAACCAGAAGCCGTTTGGGATTGAGATGAATAAGCCACAGCGAGTGGTTAGAAGCAGGTTAGGAAGAAGCGGGGATGAGAAAGCCGAGTAGGGTTCTGGGCTGGAGCCATTCACTGAGACAGGAACCTTGGGAGAGGTGCGGTGTCTCCCTGGCGACTCGGTGCAAATGTCCAGAGAGCGGCTGGAACCCCTCGAGGCTAGAGCACGGGGACGCTGACCTGGGGTGTAGGTCTGGGAGCAGTGGGCCCTCAGGTGGTTCACTGACACCATGAGTCTGGAGGGGCACCCGGGCTGTTGTGGGTGGTGCTGTGGAGGGAGAAGGGTCTGGTTCTGCCCCCAGAGACTGGAAACAGTGACCAGGTGGGAAGGGAAGGGACCACAGAGCAGGCCAGGGAGGGAACTGGGGGGCTGGGGATCCCCCAGCCCTGGAGCCATGGGCACAGGAGAACCATCTGCCGGGGGCCTAAGGGACTGAGCAGCACCCGCTGGGAATCATCACCCTGGGTTCTGGGCAAGGGCTGGCTCATGGGTGGGGAGAGGAAGCCAGACCTGGGTGACTGGAAGAGCAGGAAGAGTGAGAAGTCGGGGAAATGGGGTGGTAGCAGAAGGGTCTTAGGAGCAGGAAAAGACTTTACAGAACTCCCCAGGGGAGACTTAGGAAGAGGAAACCCAGACGCCTGGGGCTCGGTGGGGGTCCTGAAGGGCAGGCACCTTCTCCAGCTTCCCAGACACCATGACAAAAGACATCGTTTTTCGCTGCACCAAAGCAGCCAGAGGCGGGCTCTCCCACGCTCCGGAAGCAAAGGGAATGATCTGGCTAGGGAGCAGCACTCCACGGTGACTCGGTCCTGCTATCCAGCCAGCCTCCGGTGCTCGCCTGTGGGCCACTCCGGGCAGGTCACCTGACTCTGAACCGCTCTGAACATCAGCCTCTTCATCTCTAAATGAGGGTGCTGGCCGTGTGCATCCACAGGTGTATCCTGAGGTTTGACACATACAAAAAGCTTAGGACAGTAAATACTAACAGGCTGGTGCAAAATAGTGTTTTTGTCACTGAAAAAAGTGGCAAAACCCGCAATTACTTTTCCACCAACCTAATATTAATTGTGAGTGACTGGGTCAATTTGATGCAGCTTTCTGATCCCTGCCCAACCTGCGACCAGCTTCTAGGAGGACAGGAGCGGCCTGTGACTGTGGGTCTTAAAGGCAAGAGAACAACAGAGAGATGTTTCTGGCCCCTCTTGTGTGAAATGAAGACTTTTTAATGTGAATTTAGAAGTAAGTCCTGAGAGTGAAAACAAAATCAGACTCTGGAGAATGGCAGAAAGTCCAAAGGAGATGAAGGCCGGGGAACCCCAGGCAAAGTTAAATCAGCCCGACAGGAGCACAGACGCGTGATGGGGCACCAGGTGGGAGTGACGGGAGGGCACAAGCTCCCTTCTGGGCTGATGGAATGCTCTGTAGCTTGCTCGGGGTGTGAGGTACTCACAAACAAGCATTGGTCAGAACTAATTGAATGGTAGCACTTGAGATCTGACCAGTTTGATACATGCTCACTAGGCCTCAATCTAAAAAAGGAAAAGGAGAAAAAAAAGTTAGAAACTAAGGGCTAGAGGAAATAAGTGACAGACAAGGAAAGGCTTCTGTAACAAGAATGTGTCTTTTTCACGGGGAAATATGAACCATATGTCTATACACGTGTGCACATATGAACATGAATCTGTGAATGTGCACACACATGCACACACATGTACATTCACACATATGCACAAATGCATGTGTGTATACCCGCGTGGGAGCATATACAGATGTACATGCACACATACACACAAATGCATGTGTGTACACCTGTGTGGAAGCATATACACACGTACATGCACACACATGCACAAATGCATGTGTGTACACCTGCGTGGGAGTGTATACAGAGGTACATGCACATGTGTGCACAAATGCATGTGTACACCTGTGTGGGAGCGTTTACACATGTACATGCACACGTATGCACAAATGAATGTGTATACACCTGCGTGGGAGTGTATACAGATGTACATGCACACATATGCACAAATGCATGTGTGTACACCTGCATGGAAGCATATACAGATGTACATGCACACGTATGCACAAATACATGTGTGTACACCTGCGTAGGAGTGTATACAGATGTACATGCACACATGCATGTGTGTATACCCATATGGGAGTGTATACGCATGTACATGCACACATGCATGTGTGTACACCCTCATGGGAGCATATACATATGTACATGCACAAATACATGTGTGTACACCGGCATGGGGGCATATACAGATGTCCATGTACAAATACATGTGTGTATACCTGCGTGGGAGCATATACAAATGTACATACACACATATGCACAAATGCATGTATGTACACTATGTGAGGGGTGTATACAGATGTACATGCACACGTGTGCACAAATACATATGTGTACACCTGCATGGGAGCATATACAGATGTACATGCACACGTATGCACAAATGCTTGTGTGTACTGTGTGTATACCCACATGGCAGCATATACATATGTATACAGGTGAACATGAATACGCACATGTGCATTTATCCACACATACATGTACACACACGTGCATGCATATGTATAAACCCAACATACGCAGATGAAAGAGTGAAAGGGGAGATAGAAAAGTGAATCTGGGCTTTCGCCAACTCACACTTCTGTCTGAACAAGTCAACTGTGGTCCCTGCCCAGTGCACACCAAAAAGGTCTGCACATCCCTCATGGGCCACCCTCTGCATTGACACTTCGCGTTTCCCAACAGAGCTGGGGCCCATTGGAAACGCGGGTTGGGTTCAGAGGTTGGTTTCCATGGCGTCCTGCCACTCTCCAGCTGCAGGTCTTGCACGCAGCCATCTAACTTCCCCACACATCAGCCATTCTCCTACAGCTACAGATGAGCAGAGAAAGGAGAGAACACATGTGTAAGGCACTTATCCTGCACCCAAAACAGACGCGTGCTCAGTACAGGATGGTTCACATCATCTCCATCGTCATTATCGCTGTCATTGTCACCTCATCATCATCGCCATCACCATGAAGGGGAACAGCTTTGCCAGCTCTTAGCCGTGATCTATCTCTGGACCCTAATGGAACAGAGGAAGACAGCGTTACAAACGCAGGCTCCAGGCCCCACACAGTGGGCAGGCCCCGGAATCCAGGAACCTCCCCCGTTCCCAGTGGGCCCCCAGCTCACAGAGCAGGAGGCTGGGAAGACTTGTGCTGGGTACAGGGCCAGGTGGGTCCTGCATGAGTGAATGGGTACAGAGGTGAGAAAGGCATCTAGGGTGGGAGGAGTCACACACACAAAGGTTCTGAGCTAGGAAAGGGCAGACAGCTAGCGGAGTTGGCATGGAGGCCTCTGGGTGTTGTGGCGGTGCCAGCTCGGGCACCCTGTGTCAGTCCTGAATGGAGGAGACACACTCCTTGTCTGCATTAGTCCGTTCTCACACTGCTGGAAAGAACTGTCCGAGACTGGGTAATTTATAAACAAAGGAGGTTTAATCAACACAGTTCTGCATGGCTGGGGAGGCCTCAGGAAACTTACAATTATGGTGCAAGGGGAAGCAGGCACGTCTCACACTGTGGCAGGTGAGAGAGCATGTGAAGGAGGCACTGTCAAACATGTATAAAACCATCGGATCTGGGCAGAACTCACTATCACAAGAACAGCCTGGCGGAAACTGCCCCCAGGATCCAATCACCTCCCACCAGGGTCACTCCCTCAACACGCGGGGATTATCGGGATTACAATTCAAGATGAGATTTGGGTGGGGACACAGCCAAACCATATCACCATTCTCCCGTGGCGTGCATCGCCATGGGCGAAGTTCACTATACACAAATACAAGCACACACAAACAGCACATATGCCTGCAGTGCCAGGAAGAGGAACCTGGCAAGGAAGTACCAGGAGGTCAGAAGAAGCATTTCTGGCCTCTCTGAGGAGGTCACACCCAGAATTTGAGCACCTTTATAAGGATGGAGGCCAAGGTTCCATCTCTACTCAGTTTCTGTGCTGAAACCTAGCCTCCAATGCCATAGTACTGAGAGGTGGAGCTTTAGGAGGGGATTAGGTCAGGAGGACAGAGCCTGCATGAATGGGATTAATGACTTGTAAAAGAGGCACCATTCAAAAGCAGAAAAAGCCCTTACCAGACAAGGAATCTGCCAGCACCTTGAGCTTGGACTTCTCAGCTTCCAGAACGGTGAGCAACACGTTTCTGGTGTTTAACGATCACTCAGTCTGAGATGTTTTGTTATCGCAGCTTCAGCAAAGTAAGATGGTCGCTAGCAAGCCCAGGGTGCAGGACACCCTCTGTACGAGACAGGTGCCTGCTCCCTAAACCTCAGAGTGTAGCCGTGGCAGCTGTGCCCACGTGGCCTCAGCCCCCGTGGTGTGATGGAGTTGGGGAGGTCGTGCTTCCTGGGTTCCTCACTCCCGGGAGAAAGGAGGGCCGGGATAGACATGCCCAGCATTCCTCGCAGGTGTACCAGGTCAGGCCTCCAACTCCCCAGGGTAGAGGGAGGCCCGAGTTACACTGGGAGCCTCCTTCAGGGGAGGACCATCCCCCCAGGAAAGCGAAACCTAAGATGTGGTTAGTGGTGATTAGGAGGTGGGCGGAGGACCTGTGTCCGAAAGCCCTCAGGGCCAGAACGCAAGTCCCGCACTGGAAACAGAGAGAGGGGTCCCGCGGTTGGGCCCAGAAAACGGGGTATGGGACAGGAGGGAACAAAACAGCCAGGGGAGGGCCGTGCAGGGGACTCCGCTCTGGCTAGGCCTCTGGGCATGTTTCAGAAGGAAACTCATCACATTTTTAAACGACTTCTGTGGAAGACGTGGAGGAGGGCTGTGGGCAGGCCATCGCATGGACAGATTGGGAAATTTTGTATGGGTCAGTGGGACAGGATGGCACCCTGGCTGCTCCAGAATCTAGTGGCGGCTTGAGAAGGAGGTTGAGCGAACAGCTAGTGGCTGAGCCACAGAGAAGGGGAGGACTCAGGGAGGAGCAGGGACAGATGTCGGGCAGCAGGAAGCTCTGGAGTGATTTGGGACGGCAGCTCTGAGATGCCTGGGAGCTACAGCGGGAACCCAGTGGGGACGGCCATGCTTTGAGACAGCAACCCTGTGCTTCCTTCCGCCGCACCAGAAGCTGATTCTAAAATGTTGAGATTTGCCCTCCTGAAGCCCAATTTTTATTATTCTTATTTTTATTTTTTTGAGACAGAGTCTCACTCTGTCACCCAGGCTGGAGTGCAATGGTGCTATCTCAGCTCACTGCGACCTCTGCCTCCTGGTTCAAGCAATTCTTCTGCCTCAGCCACCTGAGTAGCTGGGAATTACAGGCGTGCGCACCACCACGCCTGGCTAACTTTTGTATTTTTAATAGAGAAGGGGTTTCACCACGTTGGCCACACTGGTCTCGAACTCCTGACCCCAGGTGATCCGCCTGCCTTGGCCTCCCAAAAGTGCTAGGATTACAGGCATGAGCCACCCCACTTGGCCACAAACAACCCTGAAGCCCAGTTTTTAAATGACGTTAAAAGTGTATCACAAAAGTGAAATAGGCGTATCAAAAAGATGCTCTGCATAATAAGGTTGCTGAATCTAAAAACCAAAAATGGAACAGTTTAAGACAGGAGGGAACTGGCTTCCATGAGGGTGTCGGGTTGGACAAATTCCCTCTGAGCGTGTCCTGTCACCGTGATCCCACGGTTGTGGGGCTCACAGGGGACTGCTCCTTGCTCTGGGACGTGGCCGAGAGTTCAGATTCACCACTGTAAGTAGGAACACTGAAAAACTCCAGCTGAACCTAAGAACCCACCTTTGAGCCAGGTTTCAGCCAATTTATCTCAGTCTGCAATTTCACCCTGAGTCACGCTGCACATTCCACGGATAAATCTCAGAGTGTAAACATCTGCTTTGACATCCTCAGACAGAACGCAGATGCAGACACGCCAAAGCTCGGGTCTCATCCTATGCCGGAAAAGATGGGGAAAGAATAGAAAGTGGCATGTGTGATATTTAGTTTGGGGTCAAGGACAGTTGCTAGGCGAGCCAACATCACACACACAACATAGCCCACCTGCATCCCAGTGGCAACCTGGGCCCCCCCACTGCCGCCGTCCCTGCCAGGGCTAATCACGACAAGGATTGGCATATCCCAGTGACAACCTGGGACCCCCTCCCCCGCTGCTGTCCCTGCCCGAGCTAATCACAGCAAAGGGTTGGTGTTACTGGAATGCACTCTTATGTTCACGCTGACTTATCTATCCAAGTGATGGTCCATTGTTATCACAGGGTTCCTTTCTTCATTGGTTAAATCTAGAGTGGTCAGTGGGGTTTAGTTTTTAATTGCCCCTCGCTGATGTACTTTGGAGCACACCTTCTCTGACCTCCATGTAAGCCTGGCCATCAGAAATGCTTTTTGTCCGTGAACAGCAACAGGTGCACTGTGTATGGGAGACAAATGACTAGAATGTGGCATGTTCCTCCAAGGCCAACCCTGACTGGCGGCGTGGAGCTGCAAGGTGCGACGTCACTTTCGCTCAACTGCCTTTTGTACCTTTCAGGTGGGCACGGACTCCATGGAAGCCTGAGCCGCCAGGGGCTTCCCTGGGGCAACACTGCTTCGTGTAGGCTCACGAGAAACTCCCAGGGTTCCTGGGTAAGGGAGACACAGCAAGAGCTGGCCTCTGCCACATCCACCTTTGTCACCAGAAGCCCATCTTTAGGGCACCTCTCTCTCAGCTGTTTGAGTTTTAGGGTCTTGCCATAAAACTTCATTCAGGCCTCCTGGGCGAGGCTCAAAGCACCCAGCCCCACGTAGGAACAGGTTCAGAGCACACAGAGAAAAGAGCAAGGTTGACCCCAAAAGAATGACAGGCGGGGAGACAAATGCTGGCTCTGTCAGCCTGACCCCATTCCCTGGGTGGCCGAGGGAAACGTGCGATGGGTCTTGTGAGGGTGGAAGGCGCCTGAGGGACGCTGTACCCATTCCTCTGCTGGCAGTTCACCCGAAGGAGTTGACGTTTTTAAACGAACACGGTCTCTGCTCTTCGGAGTGTGACAGGCTGCCCCTGTCTGCGGAAGCTGTCCCTGAATAGGCTTTCTCTGAGCTTGTTCCCGTGGAGGGCTGGGCCTGGTTTCTAATCGCCCCCTTCCCCGGGCTGCCTGCTGCTGGCTGCGGAAAGTGTGGGTTTGGCTGCATGATGGCCTCGTAATGGCTCTGGTGACGCCCTCTGCATCTTCTCCCGGCGCCAGCCTTTCAACGGAGCAGCACATTATGCCTGGATAAGACTCAAAGAGCAGCTTAATATCAGGTTCTCTGGGGCTGTAATCATGGGTTCAGGATGGAGCAGACTCAGCCTCAGCGAGGCCTCTGTGCAGCCCCCGGCTTAAAACACGTCAACGCATCCGTGGGCACTTTCTGGAGTTAAAGCTCAACTTACACATCTGCCTGTATCCATAGGAAATGAATGAAAATAAACAAACAGATTCCTTGCATTCAGCACAGCATAAGAAAAACCACATCCTGCTCCCCAGCAGCCGAGGAAAGCCGGCTCACGAGAGCATACAGGGAGAAGAGGCCGGCATTGTGTGGCTGCCAGCGAAGCTCACTTGTATGTCAAATGCAGCACTTTTGTTAGCCCATTATGTTGTTATTTTTTTTTTCTTCAACACTCCTGTGTCTACTGGGATCTCCTGTTTTTATTGTTTTGGGATGAGATAAAAACAAAAAACAAAAAACAAAACAAAAACAAAAACACACCATTTCATGTGGCCTGTGTGCTCTTGTACATTAAACCAAAAAGAAACCCTGGATCGCCGCACAGGAGACTGTCCTCCCCGTTCTCTAGGGACGCGCCCGCGTGGGGAAACCCTCTTTTCTCTTTGTTTTTGACGGTGTGTTCTAACAGGACGATCTGGAGGAAACGCCATGTTCACAGGACACATTTCTGCAGCGTGGCTCGGAGGCCCACCGCCAGCGTTTGGCTCACTCATGTCACAAACTAGAGGGGAGGAGGGTGCTGGCTATTTCCCATCTGCAGCCTCAGTTTCCCCACCAGAGGATTCGAGGAAATACTTGGGTGGGCTGTGATGCATCCCGGCATGAAACCCCCAGCACTGACGTTGGAGTCCGGAGGTTTGGACATAGTTGCCAACATCGCACTGACTTCCACGCCAGCACCAAATCTGCGGCTCCCAGGCCACTCGCGCTTCTGAACACAAGGTCAAGGCTCCCACAGCCTCTCTGGGGTCCGTAGTTCACTAGAACGACTCGCAGAACTCAGAAAAGCTCTGTCCTTATAACTGCAGCTCTACTACCAACGGCACGCTGAGGACCTCCCAGCGGAGATGCGTCCAGGGCCGGTCGAGATCAGGAGGCTCCCAACATGGGGCTCCCGGGCCCTCTCCCTGTGGAAGGCGGCAGGGGGCACTTCCCCTCCTGTACGTCTGCGAGTTCTCACTGGAGCCTCCTCCTGTAGGGATCACTGCCCGGGTGATGAGCTCCATCTCAAGCCTTCTCCCTTTTGGGAGGTCAAAGGTCAGCTATACCATGTGACCCCACCCTGTAACCACATAGTTGGCCTTTCTGGTGTGGCCAGCCCCATGCAGACCCTAAGATGCCTAGGGACCTCCTTGAGTAACAAATTCCTATCACTCAGGAAATTCCACAGGTTTAGATGTTACCTCCTAGGATCCCGGGACAAAGACCAGGCACGTTTCTTACTACGCAACAATAATGGTAAGCTACGGCAGGAGTGTCGTGATGATGAAATGGGAAGATGCAGGTCAAGCATGAGTGGCGGGGCCTGTGGTCTGTGCTTTACATACTGATGAGTGCTTAATAAATGTTAGCTGGTGGTGTCTGCACCATTGCTGCGTCATCCCACTCCCGAGTCAAGGCCAGTCCAAGTCCCACAACACGTGTTGTTCAGTTCAGGTAAAACAAAACTAAAACACAGGGTCCAGTTGATACATTCTCTATAAACCTATCCATAAAACAGACTTACACGACAGGGTCCATTTGATACATTCTCTATAAACCTATCCATAAAACAGACTTACACGACAGGGTCCATTTGATACATTCTCTATAAACCTATCCATAAAACAGACTTACACGACAGGGTCCATTTGATACATTCTCTATAAACCTATCCATAAACTATCAGTTCTGCATGAGCTGAGACATAGGCAAACAATTTTTTTCAATGTTTAAAATTTTCACTGCTTCTCAGAAAAATAGTAGGTTAGAATCTTAAACTGTATTTTACTTACATTATCACACACAAATCATGTCATATTCTGGTGTATTCTATGGAAGATTGATTAGTTAGCACTAAAAACTCACAGGCAAAAGAATGAACGCAAATCATTTTCACACTCATCTGTAATTTTATGCTTCCGGTGATACTTTGAAATTAGTATTCTTGTCGAAAGTTTCTAAGTAATGATTCTGATGAGCCTCAGAGAGGTGATGTGACCGTCCGAGTTCATAAAGCTGGTCATCGATGCAACATTTCAGCAAAACCACAGCATTATTGAATAGGAAGAAGTACATGTGGTGGCCTTTGGTTTGAGGTATCCAGCGCTGTCCTTGGGTGGGGGAGAAGCAGTGCCACCTCCCGTCCAGCACGAGGCTTGCCCTGCTCCAGAGTGGGGTGAGGGGGTGCGTGTTCTGTTGCTCCAGCGCTTACAGGGTAAGGCGAGGTACCAGGACTCATTTCAGGTACCAAAGCAGATCAGAGGACAGACTGAAATTCTGTAAAAATTTCACATTAGGTGGTCAAGAACTCATGAAATGATTCACTTGCATTAAGGATATACACGCTTTCACTCAGTGGTGTGCTGGATAAATATCTTGCAACTGGCTCTCCAGAAAGCAGGAAGAGAGCTGCCTTACAATGTGCCAGTGTCCATGGTGAAAACGCCCTCACGATGGCAGATTCCAGAAAGCAGAAAGAGCTGACTCACAGTGTGCCAATGTCCATGGGGCAAATACCCTCAGAGTGGCAGATTCCAGAAAGCAGGAAGAGAGCTGCCTTACAGCGTGCCAGTGTCCACGGTGCAATCCCCTCACCATGGCAGATTCCAGCCCCACAGTGCAACATTGCTGAATGCAGACTTGGGAAAAGCCGTGCATATCAGTCCTTGCAAGACGCTCAGCACACCACTGGTTTCATTCTGGGGCTCCTACCCCTCATGACAATTTTGAATCTTGATTTTGTTATCAATCATGTTTATGTTAGTTACCTGCCCAAGTCACCTTCAGTGTTGTCAGGGTGCCCTATGGATAGGATGGTGAGTGGGCAGACTGAAGGCCGTCTTAGGGCACCGTGTGGAGCCCTCCTGGGCACATGTCACCTTATCTACTTTGAGCAAAATTCTTTGCTCAACATAAGTCTCCCTACCTATATTCTTACCTAAATCATTTTTCTCTACTCTCAATGTTAAATAAAAAATAATTACACTTAGGGCATTTTCCAGTCGGCAAACCTCCATTTCATTCTGACTCTGGTCTCATCGATCTCTCTCATAGCTTGGGTCTTCTGCAGATGTGTAAGAATGCCCTGTAGGACTTGGTGTGGCCGAATGTTGGATTCCCAAGTTCAGGAAGGGCGGGGCTCGCTTTATAGCAATGCATGGAGAATAAAAGTTTGTGTTGATTGAGTTACCAAAACCAGGTTAATAGGACTTTGGAGAAGCAGAACTTTGGTGGAGGATATTGAGGTGTGTGAATAAAGGCATGAGAGGGTCTGAAAGATGTTGCTGAGGGAAAATAGCAAGATGTGACTGTGCTTTAGAGGGAGGGCATGGAGCGGGAGTGGAGTGTTGGAAAGGACCCCAGACCTAGAGCCTGGGAGTGGGGAACCTGGTGAGGCCAGGCTGGAGGTCATGATCTACAGTAAGCAACAAGAAGGCAGTGCTCAACAAGGCAGCTGTGGAGAGCCAAGGGCTGCCGGCAGCCTCTTCATCACCCTCGGGGTGAAGGCAGAGGAAGAAGCAGCCCCTGGGAAGCATGTGGTAAAAACCTAGCAGAGGCTCCGACTAACCCAAAGTGCATCGTAAAATATCATAACAGGATGCCGTGGGGGAAATCTACAAAAGACTGTTGTTTCAAAAACAAGAGTCTTTTTTTTTTTTCTTCGAGACGGAGTCTTGCTCTGTGGCCCAGGCTGGAGTGCAGTGGTGCGCTCTCGGCTCACCGCAAGCTCTGCCTCCTGGGTTCACACCATTCTCCTGACTCAGCCTCCCAAGTAGCTAGAACTACAGGTGCTCGCCACCGCGCCCCACTAATTTTTTGTATTTTTAATAGAGACAGGGTTTCACCATGTTAGCCAGGCTGGTCTCGATCTCCTAACCTCGTGTTCCACCTGCCTCGGCCTCCCAAAGTGCTGGGATTACAGGCGTGAGCCACCGTGCCCGGCAAAAACAAGAATCTTTTATGCAACAACCGGGAGACCACAGGTTTTCCCAGCCTTGCGTTTGAAGGTTTCTGCAGGAATTTCACCTTGTTTTCACCCAGCTGTGCTTTCTGTGCATTTGGAAATGATGCCCCCCGCATGTATCTGTGTGGCAGCAAAATCCAGGCTATGGCCTTCCATCATTTTCTTGCCAGAAGCCCGCAGAGCCCACTCCAGCCCAGCACCTCCCAGCAGGCCCTAGAGGCCACCCATGGTACCCCCTGGCTAATTGGCTGCCACTGGTGCTGCCGGAA